TTTACAGACAGGACAAGATAAACAAGGGTACAAACCACCCAAGAGGGGGAGACAAGCCTAGTTTGCAAGGGCCATAAGCCAGGAGTCGACGTGAGCCCGGCGGTCTTGTTGCAAGCGCACACGCCACAAATCGGCATCCTCTCTACAGCACTGACAGGCCCTGGCCAAGGACGGCACCAACCGCTGGAAGACAACGGCATTGCGATGCTTCCATAGCTGCCAGCAGCACAACATCACAAATTCCCCCTCAGAAGCGACCACATTTCTTGCCGCCCTAGCGAGGGTGTTCAGGTTGGAAGCCGACGCCCCGTCCACGCACACCCCCACTTTGTGCCAGAACCCTGCCGTGAACGGGCAGGTAAACATCAGGTGGTCTGCAGTCTCGAGCACGGCAGGGCACAGGGGGCAGCCAGCCTCATCGGCAGCAAGAATGCACTTCCGAAGCAGGACGTCCCGCGTGTGGATGCGTCTCTGAACCAGCAGCCAGCGAAGGGGAAGGTGACCCCGCCAAACCGCAGGAGGGCGTCGACCGAACTGGAGGACAAGCCCTCCGCGCGCGCCCGAGCGTGGATCAGCTGACGCTCATCGGTGCCATCACGGCGCGGCGCCTCGCCCAGCAGCCTCTGAACCTCCCGCAGTTCGCGCGCGCCCCACGGCCGTGAGTCTTGGGACCAGAAAGCTATAAAGCCCGTCCCGCCTCACCTGCCACACTGTGACCTCGACCTCAACAGCGTGCGAGAGGAGAGCGGGGAAGGCCGAGGCGATTGCGCCACAGGGAAGCCAACAGTCCCACCAAAAGGAGCAGCACCTGCCATCCCCCACGTCCACCCTTGTAAGGGATCGGTAGAGCGGCAGCAGCTTGACGATGGAGGCCCGGTGCTCGCCCAACGCCAACTCGCCGCGCGAGAGGAGAGAGTGACCGGCTGCGCCAGCCCAGACCCACGACGCCCATCTCGACCGTGGCGAGGCATGCAGCTGATGTATCATTTTGAGAAGGAGGCACTCATTTTGGGTGGCCAGGTCACGCACACCCAGGCCACCCTCGGCTTTAGCGCGGCAGACCTGCCGCCATGCGACCAAGCATTGTGCGCCGGAAGCCCGTTCAGCGACGTTCCAGAGGAACGCGCGACGGAGCCCATCCAGAGCATGGATGACAGCAGGCGGCAGGAGCAGCGCCGCCATGGCGTAGGTTGGCAGGGCGTCGAGGATGGCATTGATGAGGACGAGCCACCCAGCAGGCGAGAGAAGGCGAGCAGCCCATCCGGCAAGGTATTTATCTACCTTCGCGATCATGGGCAAGAAGTCGGTGAAGCGCAGTTTTTCCCACGACAGAGGCAGGCCTAGGTACGACTGCGGGAACACGCCGGCGGCGCACCCTAGGGCGGCCACCACCTGCTCCACCACGTCGACATCGGCATGCATAGGGACGAGGGTTCTTTTGGCAAAGTTGATCACCAGCCCGGTGGCCTCTGCGAACTGGTCCAGAAGCAGCTTTAGGCGCGCCTCCCCCCGCCCGCACGCCCTCATGATAATCAGGGTGTCGTCGGCATACTAGAGCACCACCGCCGGGGCATCCGGCAGCAGGGGGTGGCGTAGCTCCTCGTCGTGGCGGATGAGACGTTGAAGGACGTCGGCGACGATGATGAAGAGGTAGGGGAAATGGGATCCCCCTGCCGTAGGCCGCAGCCAACCTGGAACCACCTCCCCGGCACACCGTTGAGGAGGACGGCCGAGCGCGAGGAGTGGAACAGCAAGTCCATCCAAGCGCACCAGAGCGGCGGGAACCCCCACACCTCCATGATAGCCCGCAAGCTAGTCCAGTTGATGGAGTCAAACGCCTTGGCGAAGTCGAGCTTCAACACCACGGCCGGCGCGCGCCGCCTGTGGCAGCACTGCACCAGCTCCGTGGCATACACGAAATTCTCTGAG